CGATCATTCCCACTTCAACTCTACATTCTATTTGTAAATGACAAAAGCTGCTGACATTGCCGTATGGAGGCTCCCCCTACTAGCAGCAGTCAGAATACGAACAACGCTTAACCACATGGTGTAACACTTGGCGCTTACTTCCTAATCCACATAAAACCCAAACCATTATCTTCAACCGTAAGCTGAAACAAAAGAGAAAGAAAATCAAGAACGTTAAACTCGGTCTATACTACATCCAAATCAAGTTATCAAATCAAATTTTCAGGTTTAACTTTCAATAAAAAAGTACCATGGAACAACCATGTATCGAAAATGATAATCAACGAAACAATTATCTCAACAAAATTGGTGGGTACGCCAAAGGCTCCAGTGCTAAAACAATAATGACAATATTTAATGCCTATATAAGACTCATTATGGAATACGGATGCCCGGTTACATGCAACATGTCACAACACACCTACAAAAAACTCCAATAAATAAAGCTAAAAGCAATTCACATTGCCCACCTTCTTCCCATCTACACCTCAAGCTTATATCTACATAAAACAAGCAGATCAACGACTTTACAAACACGCTTTTTTAACTCTAGCAAACAAGTATTATGACAAATCAAAAACAGAAATAACCTTTACAGAAGACTCGCTAATATTACAGATACACCAGCCTCATGGAACAAGTACATCTCTTCTCTGAAATATTACAGAAACACCAGCACCATGAAACAAGTGCATCTTTCTTCTGAACTATTACAGAAACACCAGACTCATGGAACAAGTGCATCTCTTCTCTGAACTATTACAGAAACACCAGCACCATGGAACAAGTACATCTCTTCTCTGAACTATTACAGAAACACCAGAATCATGAACAAGTACATCTCTTCTCTGAACTATTACAGAAACACCAGCATCATGGAACAAGTACATCTCTTCTCTGAACTATTACAGATACACCAGCACCATGGAACAAGTGCATCTCTTCTCTGAACTATTACAGAAACACCAGCACCATGGAACAAGTGCATCTCTTCTCTAAACTATTACAGAAACACCAGCACCATGAAACAAGTACATCTCTTCTCTGAACTATTACAGAAACACCAGACAAATGGACTAATGGTTTTGTAAAGCTGGGCCTAACTCTACATTACTTACATTCTTACTACTAGTGCCACCTATACCAGACTTACTGTATAGGTCGCTGGATGTTAATGCCTTGGAACAGGAAGAGTCAGAGACGCTTGTCTTTATCGTCATTATTGTTTGTCGTGCACAACGATCCGCACACTTTACTTGTTGTTTTAGTCTTCTTGTCAGTAAAGTTAAGGTTCTTTTAATTTTAAAGTTCTTGTTTGTCTGCCTGTCACTGTCCCTCCAGGCAGGTCACCTGTGTGTCAATAATAAGATGCCGATGTATGTTTAAAGCTCCTCAAATGGTTTAAGGCTGCAACTGTTTCAAACTGTTCTCTCAACGGTTTTTCTAGAGCGAGAAAAGGTACGTCTGAACTCACTATCTGATAAAACCTAGAATCCGATAGGATGGTCGGCACCGGGTATTAGGTCTTTGTGGACCTGGTAGGGTCAGGTACGGCTTCGACCACTTCCTCCTAGAATCCGATAGGTTGGTCGGCACCGGGTATTAGGTCTTTGTGGACCTGGAAGGGTCAGGTACGGCTTCGACCACTTCCTCCTAGAATCCGATAGGTTGGTCGGCACCGGGTATTAGGTCTTTGTGGACCTGGAAGGGTCAGGTACGGCTTCGACCACTTCCTCCTAGAATCCGATAGGTTGGTCGGCACCGGGTATTAGGTCTTTGTGGACCTGGAAGGGTCAGGTACGGCTTCGACCACTTCCTCCTAGAATCCGATAGGATGGTCGACACCAGGTATTAGGTCTTTGTGGACCTGGAAGGGTCAGGTACGGCTTCGACCACTTCCTCCTAGAATCCGATAGGATGGTCGACACCA